AGATAAAAAAGAAGATTTTTAGCCACAAATTTATACATAAATTATTTTAAAATTAAAATTTATAAAATTTATAAAATTTAAAATTTATATTAAAATTTAATTTATAATCTATAAATATTGTTTTATTTATCCATTTATATCATTTACTTATTAATTTATCCATTTATTTATTTATTTATTTATTTATTTATTTATTAATTTATTTATTTATTTATTTATTAATTTATTTATTTATTTATTTATTAATTTATTTATTCATTTATTTATTTATTTATTTATTAATTTATTTATTTATTAATTTATTTATTTATTTATTTATTTATTTATTTATTTATTTATTAATTAAATAATTAATTAATTAATTAAATTTAATCTTTTTTTTTTTTTTAGATTTGATTTAATAAATGATTAAATTTCATTGTTCAATCGTTAATTAAAAAGTTTAAATAAGTAAATAAATAAAAAGAAAAAAGATTATAAATTAAATGTAGCAAATGTAGCAGTAAATAGTATTACAAACCATAAATATTCTATTCAACCTAAAATAAACCAATATAAACCAATATAAACCAAATAAACCAAATAAATCATAATAATTATCATGGTTGCACAAAAGACTTAAAAATATTTTATTATTTTTATTTCGATTTATTATTATAAAAAAAATTTTTTTTTAAAAAAAAAAAAAACTTTTTCAAATTATAATTAATATATTATATTTATTTAAAAAATTCTTTAAAAGTCTAATATATCATGAATCAAGAATATTTTGTAGTTTTGTAGTTCTTCAATAGAACTTCCCAATAAATATAAATTCAAGGGGAAAAAATCTTCAATATTTTAAAAGTTATGGTTATTTTTCTTCGTATTTATTTTTTTAATTTATTAAGGGTTAGATTTTTAAGTTGATCTATATTTATTTGGGGGTTTCCCATTTTCACCAGGTCACGTTTTTTTTGTGGCTAAACAAAATATGTATACATTATTTATTATTTATTATTTATTATTTATTATTATATATTATTTATTATTTACATTTTTAATATGGCGTATTTTTTAAGAAGTGTAAATTTTTGTATATTAAGTTGGTGAAATGAGTCACCTCCATTTATTTTAATAGTCCAAACCCTTTAAATTTTTATGATTTAAATAAATTATTCTTTAATAATCAATAATCTTTTTTTTTTTAAATTTTAAATGATTTTATCAATAATAAAATATTTAATTTTAATTTGAAATTCACTAATATTCCTAATAATATTCTTTATTATTCTTAATATTTGCCAAAAAAAAAAACAGGCAATATAATTAAAAATAATTTAAAATTTTCATTTCCTCATTTCATGATACAAGATAAACTTATATCTAATTATTTTATTTAAAGACAAGACAGCAGGGAAATATTAACAAAACAATATATTCTAATATAACACAATTTATAATAATTATTTCATGTTTAATATAATAGTTTATTTATTTATTATTATTTATTATTACATTTTATTATAATTATAATTGAATTTATCTAACTAATATTAATATCTAAACTAAACTTTATTATATAAACACTATTCCTTATTAATCTATATATTAACCTAGGAAATTCTCAAATAAAATATTAGATTATTAAACTAAATATTAATTAAACCATTATAAAAATCTCTAAACTATATTATAAAAACTCACTTGGGATTAACTTTCTCTCCATAGAAAGATCAAATATTAAAAATATAATAATAATAATTTCTTTTATATGTATTATTTAGTTATTTAGCCAATCAGAATTATTTATTTTTTCTTCTTAATACATGTTCAATCACCTGGTAGTAATAATATAAATCTCTATTTATATTGAGTCTGTATCAAGATGCCGCCGCTTAAGATATGACTTCGTCCCTTGAAGTCATCAATAAAAGTAGAAGTTTTTATTCCATAATAATTATTTATTATAATTATTTTGTATATATTTTTATAATAATTATTTTCAATAGATATTATTATTAGATTAATATATATATATATATATATTTTTATTTCTTCATCTTTTGTTCTTTTTGTAGCATCATCCAGTCTCTTGATTTTTATTCCTTTTTCTTATTTATAAATCTTCAGCACCTCCGGGATCTTATTTCTTCTTTTATACGTTATAATTCTGATTATTATTATAATTTATTATTATTATTATTGTAATGATAGAGTGAAGTTTATTAGCAATAGGCCCGCAAGCTTGAGTAACTCGAAATAATGGACAACACGAGGGATCTAAGAAAGATAAAAGACACAGTTAATTAAAAATATGTTTTATAATAAAATGTTTTATTAATTTTTATTAAATTTAAAATATAATAATTTATTAATTAGTTAGTGTAATATTTCGAATTACTTATTTAACTAGTTAATAAAAACGCGAAGAAAAAATATTTCTTTTGTCGAAATTTTACACGTATTTATACTTTTTACGGAAAAATAGTTTTCGTTTGTAAAAAGTATTAAAAGTTCTAGAAACTTAGATTTTTTGATTTAAAATGAATCTCGGATAAATAAAATTTAAAATAAAAAGAAAAACTAGAATCTTTTAGAATTTAATCGATAAGATTTTATCGATTAAATTCGAGTAATTTCTACAACAAGGAAAAGTGTAGAAAATTTTGATAATAAATTTTTAAAATAAAATTTTTCCAAAATTGGAAAGAGTGAGAGTCGAACCCGAGAGGTTCGGCCTGATGGCTCTAGTGTCTGACCACTAGACCATGATTACTATTTTACTAATTCTGAGTTTCGTTACAATTATTATTATTATTATTATTATTATTATAAATATATATGTAATGATATGGATCCATTATGGCTACTAATTAGGCTCAGTTCTACCTGCTTCTATTATTATGTTGGTTGTCTCTGGTTCGAACCTTACTCTTTACCTTTCGGAATAATATTATTTATTTAATTAATAATAAATATATTCACTCAATTATTAGATAATAATTTACTTAAATTAATAATATGTATTCATTGAAATAAATTTATTTAAATATTAATTTATTATTCACTTAATTAATATAATAATTTATCTAGTTCTTAATATTATATTTATTTAATTAAAATAATAATTAAATAATTATATAATTCTTATTTTAAATAATTTGCCCAATCATGTAATAATTTAGAATAGATTTTTGAATATATAAATTCATGTATTTTATTTTATTTGACTCTTTGAGTCGATATTAACAATCAATTAATAATAAATAAAATATAAATATCAACCATAAATAAATGAACAAATATATATTATATAAATGAATCTACTAATTAATTAAGTGAATAATCAATAGTGTTATAAATAATTTAATATATTATATTATTATTTATTATTAATTTCCTACAATAACCTAGTGGTCACTCCAAATCTTTACAAATCACCTGGTAGTAATAATATAAATCTCTATTTATATTGAGTCTGTATCATTCATGATACAAGATAAACTTATATCTAATTATTTTATTTAAAGACAAGACAGCAGGGAAATATTAACAAAACAATATATTCTAATATAACACAATTTATAATAATTATTTCATGTTTAATATAATAGTTTATTTATTTATTATTATTTATTATTACATTTTATTATAATTATAATTGAATTTATCTAACTAATATTAATATCTAAACTAAACTTTATTATATAAACACTATTCCTTATTAATCTATGTATTAACCTAGGAAATTCTCAAATAAAATATTAAATTATTAAACTAAATATTAATTAAACCATTATAAAAATCTCTAAACTATATTATAAAAACTCACTTGGGATTAACTTTCTCTCCATAGAAAGATCAAATATTAAAAATATAATAATAATAATTTCTTTTATATGTATTATTTAGTTATTTAGCCAATCAGAATTATTTATTTTTTCTTCTTAATACATGTTCAATCACCTGGTAGTAATAATATAAATCTCTATTTATATTGAGTCTGTATCAAGATGCCGCCGCTTAAGATATGACTTCGTCCCTTGAAGTCATCAATAAAAGTAGAAGTTTTTATTCCATAATAATTATTTATTATAATTATTTTGTATATATTTTTATAATAATTATTTTCAATAGATATTATTATTAGATTAATATATATATATATATATATTTTTATTTCTTCATCTTTTGTTCTTTTTGTAGCATCATCCAGTCTCTTGATTTTTATTCCTTTTTCTTATTTATAAATCTTCAGCACCTCCGGGATCTTATTTCTTCTTTTATACGTTATAATTCTGATTATTATTATAATTTATTATTATTATTATTATTATTATTATTATTATTATTATAAATATATATATATTTTCTTTTATGTATATATATGTATATTTTTTTATATATATAATTATTATTATTGTTGTTTTATTATTTTCATATTGTTTTGTCGCTGTCTCGCCCGGATTCTCCACCAAATTTGATACAAGATAAACTTATATCTAATTATTTTATTTAAAGACAAGACAGCAGGGAAATATTAACAAAACAATATATTCTAATATAACACAATTTATAATAATTATTTCATGTTTAATATAATAGTTTATTTATTTATTATTATTTATTATTACATTTTATTATAATTATAATTGAATTTATCTAACTAATATTAATATCTAAACTAAACTTTATTATATAAACACTATTCCTTATTAATCTATGTATTAACCTAGGAAATTCTCAAATAAAATATTAAATTATTAAACTAAATATTAATTAAACCATTATAAAAATCTCTAAACTATATTATAAAAACTCACTTGGGATTAACTTTCTCTCCATAGAAAGATCAAATATTAAAAATATAATAATAATAATTTCTTTTATATGTATTATTTAGTTATTTAGCCAATCAGAATTATTTATTTTTTCTTCTTAATACATGTTCAATCACCTGGTAGTAATAATATAAATCTCTATTTATATTGAGTCTGTATCATTCAAAGGAACAAGAAGCCGGGATGGCCGAGCGGTCTAAGGCGGCGCACTCAAGATGCGTTTTCGTAAGAAGCGCGAGTTCGAATCTCGCTTCCGGCATTGTCTTTTTTGTTTTAGTTCTTTTTTTTTAATATATATATATTTATTTATTTAATTATTTATTTATAAATAATATATATATATATTTTTTTCTTACTTTTTTTTTTTTTTTTTTATTTTTTAAGACTAAGGTTAAATCTTTAATTTAAAAAATTAATTTTTATTAAATTAAAAGATTTAAATCTACAACAACATATATGTAATCTATAGTTATAGGTATTACTAACTTAAAAACAAGAAAATAATAAATTTTTATTTACAGAGATTAATCAAAAATAATCAAAAATTAAAAGAGAAAAAATAATAATAATAATAAAAAAAAAAAATAAATTAAATTAAATAAATAAATTAATATATATATATATATATATATATATTAAAAAAAATTAAAAAAAAAAAAAAAAAAAAAAAAAAACTTTTAATCTCTTTCTTCCTATTTAATGAACAAAATTATTCTATCCTTCGAATCCGAATCAGAATAAATTCCATGTTTTTATCTTCTCGACATCGACACCTTTGAAGCCGCCCGGAATGTTCTTATTGTTATTATATAGTTGTTATTATACTAATTGAAGAAAATCCTAAAGGATAAAATCTTTTATAATTGACATAATAACAATAAAAAAAAAAATACTATAGAATAATAATAGTCGGAATAGGAAACTCTAATAAACTTTTTTATTATGTTAATTATATAAAGATTTTATCCTTTAGTTAGAATAAAGATCCTATATATCTTTGGATAGTCCATAATTTATATTCAATGTATATGTATATAGTAGGAACCAATATTTCAAAAAATTATTTCATATAGAAATCTCATACTTTCTTTAAATGGATGATTTTTTCGTTAGTATATCTTTCATTATATATATTATATATATAAATACTTGCCTTTAATTTCCTTTTTTTTTTTTCTTTTGAAAGACCTTTTTAATACCTTTTTAATTTCTTTTTTAAGGTACAATATTTTTTAGTCCATAAATAATAATAAGGCATGTAATAAGAATAATAGATTTTTTTTTTTTTTTTTTTTTTTTTTTTTTTTTTTTTTTGGCAATAAAATAATGAAAATTTTATTTAAATTTAATTTAAAAAGTACATGTTATAAAGTAATTGTACATATTAAAACTTAATCTAATAAAGAATAATAATTTATTATTTAATAGATAGTAATAATTAATAATTACTTCATATGGTATAGTGTATATTATTAAATTAAATCAAGTTGGAAAGTTATTATCATTATTAGATGCGTGTGACCTACTGTCTTGTCCTACTGAATTGTCAGCTTCGACGCTCTTGGTTAGATTGTTGGGATACCTATTGAATAATGACCAGATCTGGCCACTAACAGTAGGCATAATTCTAAGTAAAAGTGCGGATGTACGTACCAAAAGTGGAACATCCGAAAAGGTGCTAGGTTTAAGTTGCGCCTTACAAAGACTGTTCCACTCCTCTTTCCCCAAGTTATAATGATTAACTCTTCCACCAAGAAGGAAATAATATACCCTACTCCATTCCAACGAGTTGGAATGAAAATTTACCCCACTTGAAGCATTACTAACTAAATTATTATAATTAATACTATTATTTAAACTATTATTATTGTTGTTGATACTATAACTGAAAGTATTATTTAAGTTGTAAGTTAAACTAACATAATGAATAAAACTATTAGAAACTAAGAAAGTATTATTTCGTGAAGAATTCTCCAAGGAGGAGAAATTGTTGAAGTAATTAAAACCAAAAAAAATGTTGTTGATAGTTAAATTATTAATGAATTGAGAGTAGTTGTATAGAAAATATGTAGATAAGCTAGTACTATTACTATTACTAACATTATTAATATTACTATTATCATTGCTATTACCATTATTATTACTATTAATATTAATATTACTATTACTACTGCTATTATTATTATAGATATTATCATAAATATTATTATTGTAGTTATTATTAAAATTATTAGAAAAGTTGATATTATCAGAACTAACTAAAGGTTTTCGATTAACATACAAATAAATGGTTTCAAGATTGCCAAATAACTTAGAACGCCAATGATCGAATGTTGGGCATTCTAGAATCCAATGTTCGAAGGTTTGACTACCGCCTTTACAACAAGGACAGTAATCAGGGCAAGAGTCAGATACAAGTTTAGCGGCTTTAGCAATTTCACTATTGAATTTATAACCACTACGTATTTTGAGGAGCCAATTAAAGCCATAAGCCAAGTTAGGGTATTCAAGTTCAAGATGTAAATAATCACGAGATAATTCAAGGTGATTATCACAATAGGTAACAGCTTTAACGGAGTCTTTTTTGACATCTCTATTCCAATAAAAAGTCAAGATATCTTCTCTAGAGCCAATTTTAGAAAGTTTCTTTGATAAAGTTCTGCTTTCTTTAGCCCATGTGTATTTTCTCATCTTCGGAATAATAGTAACTAACTTGGAAATAATACAATTAGAGTCTGCCCATCTCTTAAAACATTTATCTTGAGCAATGGCACATTTGGCAGAAAGAGGAGGAATATTAAGATCTTTAGATACATTATATAAAGATATGAAGGAAGAGCGCTTCCTAAGACCTGCAATCCAAGAGAGTCCTTTATTAATTAGCCTTTGAGCACCGTTTGTTCTAGTTTTATTAGATCCAAGTAAAGGTGCAACGTATGATACTTGACTGACAACAACCGAATTAAAAACTGATTTCTTGAAGGATATAGGCATATAAGGATTAATTAAAAATCCTCTAACAGAAAAAAGCGCTTTCCTAACTTTATTATTCGTCGATTTAATTATCGGTTTAAGAGATAAATCACTATCAAAAGGAATTCCCAAATACGTATAACAATTAGTTTTTGGAATAATTTGACCAGCAAGGTAAAAGGTAGGGTCACCTTTAACTTTAGAATTTTCTGCTTTTACAACCGTAGTTCCACATTTACCAATTCCGAATTCCATAAGGTTAAATTTAGCCCAATCATTAACTTTTTTCAAAAGCTTATTTAGTTTACTTCTAGTAGGTGCACAAAGGACAATATCATCGGCAAAGAGGCCCCCACAACAGTTTTTTA